CCTTCCGTGCCGGAGGCCGCAGGATGGGGCGCAGCGCCCCCCCCCGCCCCGCCGGACTCTACCCCGGGAGGGCTCCTCGCCTCGCGGACTGCGCCGGGGAGACCTGAGCTCAGAAAGGCAAAATGCACGTGACCGGCACGCTTTAAAAGCCCACCGGGCGACTGTCTACATGGGATTCAACATTTCATATTTCTTGCCATGAATGCCCTGGGGGACCCTCAGCACTCTCCTGCAGATTGGTGTCCAATTCCTGGACAATCCTGGAGGGTTGGCAACCTTCATGCAGAAAAGGACCTGGGGGGTCCTTTTGCCTTATCAGCGGGTATGAGCCAGCCGCCTGCTCTGGCTGGGGAGGAGGCTAAGGGGGGACCGGGCTGCGCTGGTAGGAGTGTTGCCAGCAGACGGAGAAGTGCTTCTTCCCCTCTGTTCGGGGCTGGTGACACCTACGGTGGCCATCATAGAGGACGTTCTGGTTTTCTGCTGCTCTCTCCTCTATTGATACGAAACCCAACACCTTTATGTCCTCTATTTTTCTCTTCAAGAGAAAATTTTTCTCTTCAAAAGAAAAATAGAGGACATAAAGGTGTCCGGTTTTGTATCAATAGAGGACAGAGGACAACTGGACTGTCCTCTATGATGGCCACCCTAGTGACACCACATCTGGAGTACTGTGTCCACTTTTTGGCCCCCCACTGTAGAAAGGATGTGGCCAAATTGGAGGGAGTCCAGTGGAGGGCAATGAAAATGATGAGGGGCATGGGTGACTGGTGCCTCCTAAGCCAGTGGGGACACTTGCCTCCCCAGCGGCCAGTCAGTGACCGGGGAGCAGAGCATGGCATCCCAAAAGTAGCATTTCCTCTAAGCTGGCTCTGAGAGGAAACACTGCCCAAAGGGCCAGGGACGCACACGGGTTCTCCTGGCACCCCCGCTCCCCGGCCAGTGCTCTCAGGGGGGGCACCAGCGTTTCCATCCGCCCACTTCCTAAGCAGGGATGCTGGCTGTGGGGATGCAGCAGTGCTCTTGAGGTGCATGTGCACTCCCATGCACTCCCTACATGTTGCCACTGATGAGAAGTCTGGGGAACGGGACTTCTGAGGAGAAGCTGAAGGAACTGGGTTTATTTAATCTGGACATGAATGGCGTGTGCCCCCGGCAGCTGGGGGGGCAGAGTGGCAGTGAGCAGGGAGCTCCCGCAGACGCCGCCGGCGGTGGCAGGGGGTGGCAAGTGCCGACCAAGGGTCAGCGACCGCCTGCAGCTGCCACTAGCAGGAATTACAGACCACCTGCAGATGCTGCCTTTTTGTAGAGGGTGCACTGCCATGCTCAGGGGGTGCACGTGCACCTGTGTGCACCCCTTACGCATTGCCCCTGAGTCTGGAGAAGAGAAGACTGAGGGGGGATTTAATAACAGCCTGGAGGGTGGTTCTGTAGAGGATGGAGCTCAACTGTTTTCTGTGGTGGCAGATAGGGCTGTGCAAAAATTCACCACCAGTTTTGTTTCAACACTGTTTCGACCTATTTTGAGGTCAAAACAGCAAAATCGAAACGAAACAGATATGGTCAAAACAAAACAAGGCAAGTCGAAATGTTTTGCCGTTCCGACGTTTCGCCCATAGGCTATAATGGGGAAGGTTGAAACAGCCTATAACTTTGTAATTCCTGGCCAGATTTGTATAAAACTTGCAGAAATGGTAGCCCCTTCTGGGGGCATAAAGTGTGCCAAGTTTCAAGGTGATAGGTATAGGGGGTTCAGAGCAACTGCACCCCAAAGTCTTGAGAGCCAAACTTGTGTCATGTGTACGTGATAAGTCACAGCAGGGTCAAAACTACAGGAATGCTAGCCCCTGCTGAGGCCACAAAGCCTGCCACGTTTCAAGGCAATAGGTGCAGGGGGTTTGGAGAAACTGCACCCCAAAATCCTGAAAGCAAAACTCATGTCACATGTATGCGTTAAGCCACAGCAGGGTCAAAACTGCAGGTATGCTAGCCCCTGCTGAGGCCACGAAGCCTGCCAGCTGTCGAGGAGATAGGTGCAGGGGTTTGGGGAAACTGCACCTCTGGCTGCTGAAAGGCAAAACTTGTGACATGGGTGCTTGTGGGACTGTGTCTGTGTTGGAGCATGGGGGAGGGGAAACTACTGCAGGCCTGGCTGCTAGGCCCTGCTGCAGCCCCTAAGCCTGCCAACTGTCAAGATCGGTACAGGGGGGTTCTGGGGACCTGCACCCCTAGCTGCTGGCAAGCAAAACTCATGACTTGGGTGCTTGTGCAACTGTTGCCTCTCATCAGGCAGCAGGACTGAAGATCATCAT